GCATTAATGCTTCATTCTATCTGGAAAATAAACTTTTAACAATTATTTTTAAGAGAAAATTTACCTGGTTATTCCAAGAAAACAGACCACTATTACCTCTCTGCCAAAATGCTAAAAACATTCTTCTAAAATACAAAATTATGCAATTTAATGCCTGCTGTTTTATTGAAGCAACAGTTATTACAGTCTTAATGCTTTTGCTGCTAAAAATGACCACTAAAGGGGGGAAATTATTCATTGTTCCACTGCTTCGTTTTCTCTTCTACCTGGCTGCCCCCTTCCTTTTTATGATACAAACAAAGGGTTAGAGAGAACAGAAGTTGTTTGTTTTTGTTTTGATTTTTTTTTTCTCATTGTGTTTTACTTTAGAAACATCAGGATCATGTAATACCCTATTTATTTATTTTTTTCAAAATGTCTTGAACTATAGAGAAGAGCAGTGAAAACTTCCTCAAACCTTGGTTTAAGAGGTGACAATTTTTCTGCCTCTAAGAAAGCGGCCTGTTTTCCTGCATGTTTTCCATGGGTCTGAGTTACACAGAGGACAATAAAATGATTACTTTTGAGGTTTCAGTAAAATCACTTTCTTTATTACTGTGCATGTCGCGTTGCCCTTTGTTGTGCTATGACATTATGCTACTGTCGTGTGTGCGGTGATATAAATGCATTCGCCTTCAACCATTCACGAAGTCCCTCAGTGAAACAGGACCTGCGAGTCCTGCCCTAAGAAGCAGCAGACAAAGCCACTTTCCCTTTGGTCTCCGTGTTTTGCTGCTTGTCTTTTACGTGTATGTAAATATGTTCTTACCAGCATAGATCGTAGGAGCGGTACAGACCCTCAATTAGGGCTGAAAATAGTGATGTTTAATTTTCATTTGTGGGAGCTGCAGTGAATCAGTGCTGCTTGCTCAGCTCTGGCTCTCCGCTACAAAGGGAGGAAAACTCCAGCAACGGAAAGGAGCCTGAATGGAGTGATGCGAAATCTGAGCAATGCAAAACAAATAAAGCCCCGCACAAAATACTTAGCTGGAGTTTTCATCTTTGACTTTTATCAATGCCACTGTATTTGGAGTATTCCACATTCATTGGATGCAAAACTTAAATAAGTGCCCTGTAGAGTGGCTGGGAATAATAGCTCTGCTTTCTCTGATAAAATTTCTCTTCTGAGATTAGCTCCGGAGCTAGCAGTAAGGTCAGTATTTCATTTCATAGAAGTCAGCTCATGCTGACAAGGGTTTGGCCTCCTTAGTGATGGGCCGTTTGCTGCTCAGAAGTGTGAGGAATGGCTTTCCGAAATATCGATAGCTTGCCTTCGCTAGGGTTCACAATCAGATCTAACTTGCAGTATCCGTGTGCTGCAGCTACAGGCTGGGAGGGCCTGGGCCTGGCACCACCCCGAGCTTTGCTTTTCCAGGTACGAGGCCAGCTCTGCCATTAGCGTAAACCAGTGGCTTATAAGAAAGGCAAATGAGATTTGTGTCAGAGTAGCCCAGACTACAGTTTGGTCTTGGGATTTGAAAAGGAATAGAAAAATTAGGCTGCAAATGTTAATATTCTGCTTTAGCTCGGTTTTGGTGTGGTTGTATGTAAATGTGCTTATACGCACGTGCACACATGTACAGAGCTGCGTCTCCTTCCCATGGACATTTCCCACAGCTGTGTGGCTGCAGTGGTGCCTGCCATTTAACGAGGACCTAAGAGTGCAAAATCTTCGTCCTGGTGCGCTTTGATTGACATGTGCGGAGATTTCAGATAAAGGCTCTGGGATCCCGCTTTTCAGCCATAAAAGGAAAGCAGGCGAGCTTCATCCCCAGCTAAACCGTCTGCACAATGTACATCAATAATGAGACAGCATCTATTTATATATTGCTCGCTGGAAATGACTGAATTCGCGCAGAGCTCGGCGAGGCAGCCGGAGCTCCGCCAGCCTTCACGAGGCTATTGCTGGCACCCAGGGTGGTGGCTCAGACGCACAGGAGAGGAGGCAGCACCGGGGTTGTGCCATGCCATGGGGAAGGCCACCAGCCCAGCCCAGCCCTGCTCTGGGACAGTGGTGTGCTTGCTGCCCACCCTGCGCTGCAGAGGGAGCAGGGGAGGAGCGGCCTGGGGCACAGCGCTGCCCCTCCACCATCTTCCAGCCCGGCCTCTCCCACCATTTTGCCTGAGGTTCACCGGGAGAGGGGAGGAAAGCCTTACTGGCTGGGTGTGCACTGACGCCTTTTGGCCGTGTCACCGCAGGTTTTCACCAGTCTTGCTCTTCCCTTAGAGAAACGGTGTGGTGGTGAAACCCCATCCCTTGTCAGGGCTGCGGGGCTGATGGATGGCGCAGTGGTGAGACCGAGGTGCAGCGCTGACACACGGCCTGGCAGCAGGAGCCTGCTTGTCCGTGAGAAGCTTAGCACAGGCAAGGTGCTCAAAAAACCTCACCAAAGCTCAATCTAGACAGTGATTTCACCGTGTCCTTTTTCACTCCCTCTCTCCTTGGTGGCTCTTGTGTGCTTTGCCCATATGCTCTGAAGCTATTTGGTTTTCAGTTTTATGTATGTTTTATGTAAATTAGAAGAATCAAGCTCCTCTGCTTGCTGAATTATAAATTGAGTGGAGATTGGCAGACTCCCATTAGGCGACGTCTGCCCATTACTCAAGGTGCAGGCACCCAGGCCAGGTGGCTGGCTGGGCCAGCACAGCAGAGGAGCGGGGAAGGGGCTGCCCCGTCCCACGCATCCCGCGCCACTGCAGCGTGCTCTCACAGCCTTGAATGCCCCTGTCCTCCAGGTGCCCCTACAGCTCCTTTTGGACTGGTCTCGGAGGCACAGGTTTATTGACTCCCTGGCAGTTTGCTCAGCATGTTCATTACGCCCTGTACAAACGAACTGCTCTTAAATGCTTGTTTCCACTTCCCTACTGCAGGACCAGACTAAATCCAGGCTGCCTCCTCTGGGAGCACTGATCCATTTTGTTCCCTTTCTTCCCGTTGTAAGTCAAAATCGGTGTTGGTTTTAGCGTGCACCTCTTTGGCTCACTGCCTTCTTTGTCTCTGCTTTTCCAATCCCACACAGATTTTCGTACAGCCGAGTTCTGTCCCAGACTGTCTGTTCCGCAGTAGCTGAGTGCACTTCTACTGCGTGGGACGATGGTGCAGGGCTCTGCCAGTAGCTGGGCAGCCCAAGAAATGCCAGCAGCAGGGCAAGTGACTTGTGTGTGTGGCATTTAGGACTCTGTGAGAGGGTGGAGAATCTGCTGTGGGACAGAAAGAAAGTCCCCTGTAGTCTGTTATGGAAAAGCTGGGTTAGAAATTTATTGCTGTTGTGGGCAGTGGCGAGCTCTGCAGGCTCCAGGCACAGTCCTCAGGCAGGTAGGCCCTTCCCGTGCTGGTCTGAGCAGGGCATCGCGGGGGCACATGGAGCTCCATCGATCCCAGTGGGATTCAAGCACATGCTTTGTTAAAGTGCATCCTAACTGAATCATTTTTTCCTAAGCAGACAGATAGCTTGAGGAGTCTCAGACTAGCTCCCACAGGGCACAAATGGCATCACCCCTGGTGGGGCTCTGCCCTGCACTTGTTTGAGCTTGAACTCTCTTCCACTGGGTTCAAAAAATAGGTCTCTTTTAAAAAGTTTTTTATTTATTTATTTTTTTACCAAAGGCATTCATTAAAACAGAGATAAATTAGCCAAGGTTTGAATACTTTGATTCAGTGATACACTGTGAGAATGAGATTTATTCTGTCTGGTCAAATGTTTGCTGAAAAGTCATAAAAAATGTCCAACCAGACCCTCTAGATTTAGAATCTTATTTGATTTCAAAGGGAAAGTATAACCTTTCATTTCCTGGTGTGATTTTTATTAAACCTCTGCCTATTTTATTTGTCAGACCACATATAAATTTGCTACCACTTGTGTTTCCATATCAAGTACGTATAGGATTGGTAAGCAGCCTATAAGTCAAGCTGCTATTTCTTGAAATTCATTTTAATCCATAAAATTGCTAATTAAAGCTGCTTCTCGATACCCAAAAATTAAGTTAACAGTAATTAATGTAGCCAGCCTGGAACCTTAGGAAGCTACTGCCAGCAAGTGTCTTTTGGTGCACACAAGAGGATGCAGTTTGATTGTTGGCACCAACAAACAGGTTGGGAATTGTAAACACGGTAATTAGCAGCAAGTTTCTGGATCTCAACTTGCCAGACTGGCGGTCTGATTCTTGGAGTAGCTGTCGCATGGGAGGAAGGAAAAACAAAGTAAGGGAATTAGAGCAACCTTGCATTGCTCCGCCAACATATGCCACTGGACCAGTGTTTTTCTTGGCAAAGATTGCTGACAAGCAGTTTAAAAGCAGCGTTGCAGCCCTACCGCAAACTGTGAACCTCACTGCAGGCATCAACCAAGCAACTGTCCCTGGCTCTTCTGCTGCAACTCTAAATGTTGTTCCATGGAAGGGGACTATAGAGTCGAAGGTTTCACTGCTCCATCTTTACGATGGGGCACAGTGTTGATAAGGTTATCAGCAATAACGGGATTAAAAGTTAAAATCCAGTTTTTGCACTAATCCTAGAGTATGCTATTGTTGAGCTATCAAAGATTAAGGTTATAGTAACCTTATTAACCCTTGGTGTAGTGTAAATAAAAAGGAAATGTCAGCCCTAATTCCACCATGAAATTAAATCTTCACTTCTCTGAACGATGATTCAAACACAGCTTACCCCAGCCAAAATGTGTTATGAAAATTCTGAACTTACATGGATTTAAGAAATACCATCTGAGACATGACGGGATAGAGGGACAATAAAATGTGTGGTTTGTTTTGTTTAAAATTAAAAAATACTGTTCATCCAGCTTGTGTGTCTGCTAGAGCTATGGCTAAAGCCAGCAGAGCATGCAAAGAAAAAAGCAGGGACCAAGTCCTCAGCTGGTGCAAACCCCTGTGATGCAATGAACACAGCTCTGCAGTCTGCAGCAGCTCAGGTCAGATCAATTCATGGTGTGCTGGGCAGCAGCCATGATGGCCTCCTTGTTCCTGTCCCCATCCCTTGCTTGCTGGGTACTCTGTGGTCTCAGTTATTGCTGCCCCAGTGCCATGAACTGGGCACCCCAATATGAGAGCTTGAACTGACCGTTGTTCCACCAGCACTTTGAGTGACAGGGATGAGGTGCTAAAAACCAACATATGTCAGAAATTAAATGACTGCTGAGCCTTCTAGCAAAGCAGAGCCAGGTGATGGTGTAATTGGCACAGGTTTTATTGGCTAAGCTGATTTACACTGGGCAGGAGTTGATTCTCCCTGTGGTGAGCATGTGTCCCCCACCTGTGCTGGGTACTGTCCCTCTTCTCTCCTTCTAGGAGCAGCCATGTCCTTGGGGGGGGCGGGTTGAGACCCCTGCCTGGGGCTCCTCCCTTTCTGCACAGAGGGAAGGATAGACTAACCAGCCAGGCTTTGCTCGATGGCAAGGGGAAATGGCACAGGTAAACATGTATTTCCTTGTGGGGAGCAGAGGTGTATTGTGTGACCCCCCCACCTTTATTTATTGATTGATTGATTGGGAGGAAAAATAAGGTGGTAATACAATGGGATGACTCAGAACCACTCTCTCTTTTCATATTTTTTTTTCATCCTTGCCTTGTCAAAATGTTGTAAAAATTGAATAACTCAAGCATTTACTTCAAACCTTTAGCAGAGAGATAATTAAGAATTAAGGTATTGCCTATAGTAAGAGGTGAGCTCTCCAGAGAGCAGGAGGCATTGCAAGAGAGAAGAGATGGCTTTGGCAAGTCCATGCCTGCTAATGGCATCTGCATCCCTGAGGATGTGCCAGCCCTGCAGAGCGGTGGGGCTGAGGCATCGGCAGCAACTGCTGCCTCCCCCTGTCCTCGGCCGCCCTGGTGAAACTGGGTCATGAAACTTAGGACGTTGGTTTCCCCACTCACTGAACCCCGTACTTTGGTGTGTGCTCTTACATCTCTGGTTCATGTCAGCTCAGGGGCCGGGGGGCCCTGGAGTGGCTCCCCGCCTGCTGCTGCAACTGCTGCCTCAGACCTTGTGTGCATAGTGGCTGGCTTGGGCTCTTTGGCCTTTCTGCAGTTCCTGCCGTGGTGTAGGAATAGACGTTGTGCCCGTGGGGTTATTTAGAAACATTACTGGTTTCCAGTGCTGGCATAATGCTTCCTTCTAGGTAGTATCCCTTTTCTGGACAATTTCCCAGCAAAATAGTAAATGGCAACTGCAGAACAGTAAAAGCAATGGTGTGTTTGTTTGACTGATGTTACAGAGCCTGCAGCTCAAAGGCAGTAAGGCTCCGTGGTGTGTGGCAGATTCCTTTCCTCACTTCCCTACCCTGGAAGAGCCGCCTTAGGTTCAGCTTAAGCCTTAAGCTGCGGGTCAGCCTCGGGGAGGGGTTGGCGTCCTCAAGGCCCCGCGTGCCCACAGCCATTGCCTCTCACGGGGCTCAGGCCAGCAGCTCTCGGTGGGTGTGAGCCCCCCAACTGCAGCAGAGGACACCATGGTGCCCACGCAGGTCTCAGGCCTGCTGCTTGCGGCGGGGCAAGGCCCCTGCCAGAGCTGTGCCTCCCTCTTCCACCTCAGCTGTCACTGCGTGGCAGCTTCTTTGGGGGCGAGCTGCCTGCACTGTGACTGCTTCGATGTGTGCTTTGCCTCAGAAAGAGGGGGAAAAACACTCAGGGCCCACCCAGGTGGGGTCTTAGCTTCTGGCTGGACCACTGCTGCCACAGGTTGCCTTAGTTGTTGGTACGCACAGTGTCACCGCCCTGTCTCGTGCCCGGTCCCCACTCCTGGCCCTGCACCTCGCTTGGTGCCCAGGTAGCAGGGTGCTGCAGGGCCTGTCCTCCACAGCCCTGCCTGCGCAGGCGCTCTGGGTGGGGGGAACAGTGAAACCAGAAATGGGCACAGCAGTGACAGCGTTTTGGTGGCCAGCACAGATGAGGGGCAGCCTCGCTCAGGGCTGCAGCATAGGGTGAGCGCTGGCTGGCACAGCTCTGAGGGCTCAGCAAGCCTGGGCTTCAGAGTAGGCTTAAAAACAGGCAAGAGTAGCGCAAGTATTAGAATATGAATATGCCTTGCTAAACTGACATGGTGAGCGTGGTCTGATTCTCCTCAGTACCTACATCTTCTGGTATTTCAACATACCCCTATGTAGAAAACAAAATCGCGTGCTGATTTATTTCCTATTATTTTGTGTGGACAGCTTTGAGGAAGAATGGTAATAAAGCTGTTTCTCTTCCTTTTACAATGAAAAACCAGGGCGCCATCCATGCAGCAAAGTCTGTCACCAAGTAACGAGCCTGGAGCGGCAGCGCTCGGTGGGCTGAAATCCTACGCGCTTCGGTGGGAGTTTTGCCTGGCTGTCCTTGCGGAGGCGGCTGCTGCGCTGCGCAGGACACGTGAGCAGCGGCTCCTGTTTTTTAATGTGTCAGAGCATAGCTTGCTCATCCCTACAGTGCCGGGGCTGAAAAACACTGTCAAAATGCAAATGCAAGAGCTGACTGAAATCCAGTTGAGTATGTGATCTGGATACTTCGAACTTAGGCATTGTGATTGATAAAGGATTTAAAATGTAACTCTTAGCTTTAAAAAAAAAGAAAAAAAGACGCTCCATTGATGTTATGGGATTTCAACGTGTTTGTGTTGAGGATAAGTGCTGTGCTTTGCAGTGAGCGTGCACCCACACGTGTGGGGCCGTGCCGCTGCCCACGCAGGACAGGAGGCCGGCAGCGTGGCGGCAGTGACCGAGTCCAGCCGGCAGCACCAGGTGCATTGCCAGCTCCCTGGGGGCCGTGTGGTGGCTGTGGGCAGGGACAGGCTGGTGCTAGGGAAGGGTGCTTTCTTAGCTACGCCTCCTGGGCTTCAAACTGATTTCACAGACCCATTATTTCCCTATTTTCTTTTCTTGTGTGAACTGGAGGGGGGAGTAAGTGGCTCTGCTGTTGAAGGAGAAGCTGTTGGCAGGGCGGAGCTCTGTGCATGGTGCTGAGCACCAGGTGTATGGTGAGCTGAAGAAGCTCACACAGGTGCCCACGGGACTTCTTTCATCATAACCACGGGGCCAGGTGGCATCTCCTGGGAGCAGGACACCGGAGAGTACAGGGAGCTTCAGCAGTCAGGGGTGGTAGATTGCTGTAATGAGCAGATACACCCTAATCCCCCTGAAAAATATTAGGAAAAAAAACCCCACATGATCAAAGCCTAATGTTGGGCTGAAAATATGGCTAGCTAGCTTTCCCCTGTCCTGGGGAACTACAGAATACGAAGCCACAGCTTCAGCTCATGGCCAGTGCTGGCTCCTGCAAGGCAGGTGTGCTGTCGTGAAGAGCCCCCAGGTCAGCATGGCTCCTCCCTGCCTGAGGAAGGGATGCATCTCAGCGGTGTGATCAGCACCCTGCGCTGCTGACTTTGGGTTTTTCTCTTGCAGAAAGCACAGGGTTGTTACAGAGGATTTAAATGGAAGAATGCTGAGGAAGCCAGTGAAGAGTTTTAAGTGGTAAATGTTTATATTCATAATTTAAATCCAGTGGGTTTTTTTTGTTTGTTTGTTTTTTTCCGCAGAAATTTAGTATCAACTTTAAAATCTGAGAGTGTGAAGTCACTGGAAAACATAAAAGAGAAGGCTCTTGCTTAAAGAATTTGCAGGTTGAGCACCCATCTCACAGACCTGTCAACATTTCTGTTGATGGATTCCCAGATAGCGCTGAAAGAGCTACTCCAAAGCTCTAGAAATCTGATTATTATTTCCAGAGGATAGATCTATACAACAATGTAAGCCTGATATTCACAAAACAAAAGCTGTTTGTCACACAGAATAAATCCCTGCAGTTCAGTCCCTACTCTTGGTTAACTCACTCCCTTAACAAGAAGTTGGAGATGCCAGATTGGCAAGTGGGTGGAGGGAATTGTTCTGGTGAGCCAAGAAATTTGTGTTTTCCCTCTGTTCTGATCCCCCAGTGTAACCCAAGCACACCCTGTGCCTGCAGGCAAGATTCAAGCCTCCAACACCTGAGTATTCCTGCCGAATGACATGGCATAAGATCAGGGAAAAACCTGTTTACTACAGCATGGTCTAGTTTTCAGATCAAAACAGATTGCTGTACATTGGGTGTGAAACTTCCTAATGTTTTAGTAATGATTCTGGAAACTGTATGACTGACAGTGCCGTGCAAAGCACTGTCTGAGGTTATGTAAATCCCTAAAAAGAAATCTAACCCCAAATCCTAATTGTGTAGCTGAGTGCTGTGAAGCCTAGGCAGTGCCAGATTTTAAAGCTATCCTGGTACCTTACATAAATACACATACATACTCATAGGAACTGTGTCCTAAAGAGCTCTTTAGCTCTCCAGGCACTTTGGTAGGAAGTGCTGTGACGGGCTGGTGGTGCTGCCCGGAGTGCTGCTGCTGCTCCTGGTTTCACTGGCAAGAGCCAGGTCCCCATGCCCTCTGAGCACAGCCAGAGCTGCGGCTCTCAGGTACATCCCTGGCAGAGAAACGAAGCTGCTTCCAGCTCTGGTGCTCACTAAGAGGGAAAAGAGACCCTTCCCCATGCTTCCTTGTGCAGGAACAATTACCACACGTTTAGAAATTCTGCCCGGATGCTGCAGCCCTAGCTATGAATCTCTAAATATATTTTAAATTTATTAGCGTCATGCTGCTTCTGACACAAAGGATGTGAGGGACAAAGAGCAGCAGCTCCTGTGCTTGAAGGAAGCACATAAAAACCTGCCAGCACACTCGTAATTTCATGCTTCTAAATGTTGTTATCCAGACGCCATTGTACCTGCGACTAGTCTGCTTGGGTTAACTCTGAGATGTAAAATACTCCCCGGTATTAAAAACACGATAGTAGTGCAGGTGGCTAAAGTGCATCTAATGTTTCTGTGAGCACTCCTGTTAGCTCTTATTGCCTTGTCCTTCACGTGACTTAAGACATAAAATTGAGTCTGCAGCATTAAAAATGTTCAGAAAGATGCGCTTTAGTAAATAATGTCTCCATTTTCAGTGTTTGAATGGGTATGTGAAGTGAAGGGGACCGAGTAAAGTCCATGTGACAGAGATCAGCGATAGAGATCTTTATGACTAATTTTTGCAGAATTGCCCAAGAATTACTGGCAAAATGTTTATCATGTCCCCCAGGCTTCTCAAACTGTCTCAACTGCATAGAAATAGTGGGACCTTCCAGTTTTGATCTGAAGTAAATTGAATTTTTTTTTTCTGACAGATTTTGAATCAGGGTCTTGAAGGACCCGTGACATTTTTCAAATAGAATACTTGTTATATTCTTTTTGTTGTCGTGGCCCATCCCAGGCTAGGCAAGGAGTCAGTGCTAAATCAGCATTTCCCACCTTGCCCCTCGCGGAGGGAGCAGAGAGGGGCCAGGCACATGAGCAGAGGGAAGCAGCGTTAGGAGGAGGAAATCACAGGAGGAAGTGACAGGAAATAGCAGAGGAAGGGAAGAGAGAGGAAAAAGCATAAAAGAGAGATTCAAATAGAGATAAGGGAATGAAAATGAGAGGAGGGGAGAGAAGAAAAAAGAAAATGGAAGGAAGGAGTGGATAAAGAAGACTGATCTCAATAATTCTCAATCATTATCTTTCAGTCTGCTCCTCAGGTGGGAGCACAGTGTGTTTTGGAGCCCCCCAGTGCTGCCTTCAGTAGCTGTTCTCCATTTTAGCTTGGCCAGAGAAGGGGCTCACACAGGTCGGCCGTGTCCAGGGCAGCCCCATGAGCTGCTGGCTCCGTATGGTGCTCGGCCACCTCCAGCTGCCTGAGATCTGTGAGGAACAGCAGCGAGCACCGGATCCTGGTTAAATCTCAGCAGGTTTATCGCTTATAAAACCATCACAAAAGATGAAGTAATGTCCTGTCTGGACACATACTGGGCTCTAGGTCCTCCTTTTTTTTTTTTCTTTTTTTTTTTTTTTTTTTTCCTGTTGTAAAGGGAGAGTTATCTGATGATTTTTTTTATCTGTTTGTTAATGTCAAAAAACAGTTATTGTGATTTAGAGAAGCTAAGGGTTTAAAATAAAATATGCATTCAGTGCTTTCAAACAAAGATTTGGTGACCATCAGGTTACTCAAATGTGTGCAGTTTTATCAAAGCCCGAAGTTTTTCTTTTAAGGTGTTTGTAGAATATCTCTTCTCTTATTGTGCCCTCTTACAATTACAGATGGAACGATGAAAACACATATTCCCATGCAATTGCTTGCTGCTGCCTTATAAAAAGCCAAAGCATAAATCAACTTCAATATGGAGTAAACTAATAGCATCATTGTGAAAGATTAACCTGAAGAGTTTTGCCCTACTACTGAAAATGAAAGCAGACCTCAGCTGATGAGAGTAAGCCTCTATAACGAGAGGTTTAAGATGAGATGTGAAGGTGTCTGACTTGGCTTTCCCAGCCTGCTGAGAATGAATTTTGGAATTGGGCTGGACAAGAGTTAAGAGCACATCTTCCATGTACCTTTGGCTTGTATTTTGGAGAGGCCGATATGCTGTCCTGGGGTCATCTGAAACATCAGCTGCCCTAACAGAGAAGAGCTGACTGGTGATAAATGCACTGATCCTATTTATGCGTCGCTTTCCAACTCATCAAAGCAATTTTAAAATCAATATGTTACGTTTAACAGGGAGGCCATGCATTTCTCTCTGGGCAGGAATAACACGCCGAATCTACAAAGGGAGAATTAACCTTCCAGGTGCAGCGTTTGGTAAAAACCACAGAATATAAAGAATATTCCAGGAAAGCCATAAAGGGAGATGTCGCAAAGATGGCTTCTGGGATGTTAAAAATACAGCCATGCTTGTGAGCTGGAGTGCAGTGGCTGAACCTGGGCAATGCTGTGCGCAGGGCAGGAGACACCCGCGGCTGTCAGGAGTGCCGTGCCGAGTCCCGAGCAGCTCCTGCCATTATAACGTGTAACGAGGCCAGGGGACAGCTTTGTGCAGCATCCGTAACATAGTGCAGCTGATGTATGTAAAGATGTCTGAGAGAGAGAAGGCAGGTCTGCCAGCAGTGCTGTTGATACCAGTGATCTGTCTGGGCTGGGGGCTGCAGGCTGGAGTGCAGGGCTGCAGGATCAAGCCGCTGTGTTTTGAATGGGTTTGAGCCGTTCCTAAATAAAGCTTCATTAGTTAGGGTGGCACCGCTCTGTCTGCTTCCTACTGAGCAGCAGGAAGACAAAGAGAGCATCTACAATCGTAATAGTTTAACACAAATTGATTTAAAGCCTGGAATAATAGGAGGCTTAGAGAGCCTGGATGAGAGATGGTGTTGGGCAGAAAGAGGTGGGAATGAAGAGGAACAAAGCCCAACCAGCTGCAGACGAAGGAGTGAGTCCTCTTTCCATCTGTTGGTTGAAGCACCACATCTGCAAACAGGTGTGGATGTTCACAATGCATCTAGGAAACCGTTCTCCTTGACTTTGTGACTTGTTCGTAGTGCCTTGCCCTCAGCCCCAGGCAGACTGGCTGCCTGGCCCTGGGCAAATGGGCACCCAGGGTCATTACACAGATTCTGCTGTACTGTGTGCTCTGGTGAAAGGCTTGCATATGGCTTCCAGCTTTCAGAGATTTCTGGTCTGTCCAAAATACTTAGGACTGCAGCATCTTAGACCTGTGCATGTCTTTTTGTCCTTTTTTTTTTTTTTATTTTATTGCTGAATATGGAGAAGTTTGGCTTTTATGATGTGTCTATGTATACGATTTTAGTAGCTTGGATTGCTTTTATATATTTATTGTGAAAACAGCTTGCTTAAAAATTGATTATTGATCATAGGAAGACACTACATTTTTTTTTAATCTTCAGAGACAGAATTACAAATTAAGTGATATAAAGTATTTTAGTTACAGGCATTTTATTAAAAACACTTCATCTAGCATTTACAGAAAGGGAATACAGTTGTGTTTCATTATGTGAGAATGAAAAACAGAAAAACGTGGTGGGACTCAGCCCTTGTCACTCAGTAACTGCACTGATGTTAATACGACAAGATTAGATTCTTCCCAAATTGCACAAAACACTGAAAGATTCAAAAGCAGGGGTTTGGAGAGCTGCAGAATTCCAGTTGCAGTGGATAAACTATCTGCAGGAGTTGCAATCTGTTTGCATGCACACACAATGCATTCTAGTTTTCTACTGAAAATTTATGACTAGTCATGAATGCCATATATAGCACGTCTGATCATGTATGTAAATGTACGTATATTTACACAGCAACGTGTATGCACATGTATGTAGTATGTATGTACATACACACCCTGTGTCGTGTTCTGAAAATCCAAAGCTGCGTTAGGCCGTGCAGCAGGTGCCATTTCGGTGCATGCGGAGCGGTGCCTGTCCCAGCCTCCCTGAGGGGCTGCTCGGCACAAGGCTCTGCCAGGCCCTGGGCATGGGGAGCTGCAGCAGAGGCTCCCTCCCTTTATTTCTTGTGACCAGGTGCCTGAATATGGGGGCTGCTGGCGTGCTCTGGAGTAGCGGCTGTGCCAGCTGTGTGGGGTAGGGATGTGAGGCTGGTAGGCCGAGCCTTGTGAGTCAGGTAGAAGAGAGGCCTTCAGCATGGGGTCTGCACTCCCTGTCAGTGCTGGGGCTGAGCAGGAAACTGGTTCCTCCCTGGGTGAAGCTGACGAAAGAGACACGATGTGCTCCAGGAGGCCGGTGGGGCTGTAGGAATGCCAGACGCCTTTGTTGTTAACCTGCTCTCCTTAAGCTGGCTCAGGAGCTGAATAGTTCAGCTGGGTAAATCCCATCCTTTCAAAAGGCAGCAGAAATGCCACCATTACGATGTTCTGGTGAAGCAAAATATTTTTGTTTGCTGCAAAGGTTTAATTCGTGTGCAGCCATGCTTCCCCCTCAGGATGTCAGAGAGGCTGTGCTAGTGCCGTGCTGCCTGCCTCGCCCCATGACAAAGTGCTCCCACGGCAGAAGTCACCTTCTGCGCTCAGCCGAGCTCGACTGGAGCTGTCCCTGTGGCTGTGGCGCCGAGGGACTCTGAAGGCAGTTGCGGGTGCAGCACCACGGCGCCGTATTTCAAGATCATAAAAACTCCTCGGATAAATGGGGGGAGCGTGGCTTTCTGCCGCAGCACGTTGGGGGCGCGCGAGCCAGTCTGTCATTGTGCGAAGGCAGCAGATGCAGGCGGTGCTCGGAGGAAATGGTTCATGACCCGCTGATGCTTCCCGAGGGATGCAGCCAGGAAACAAAGAGGCGCTGGGGGCTCCTGGGGTGGGAGCAGCACTGAGGGGAGGGCGAGGGAAGCAGCAGGAGAGGACAATGGGAAGAGCAAGCAGGAAGGCAGAGTCCAAGCAGAGAAGCCCTTTTTGCTGCAAGCTGCATGGCTGGACACAGTGCTCTGGATGCTGGGTGGGATGCTCACTGCACAAGCTTATTGAAGGTGATCCCCAGGAAAGCATGCATTGATGGGGTGCTGCCAGAGAATTTTAGTCCATGTGCAACCCATGCTTGGGTAAATCCTCAGGTGTGTCCCTGTCCTCAGCTGCTGTCACAGCTGTGGAGGGAACACGTGGTGGTGGTGGACCAGAGGCAGAGCGGCCCCTTGGCTGCCCCCACCTCTGCACCCATCCCGCAGCTGTCACATGGGCAGACGTGGCCATGCCAGTGTGTAGGTGAAAGCAAACCCTATGCAGCCACGGGCCACAGCATGTCACCCCACTACCAGCCCTGTGCTCCCCGCTTCAGGGCTCATTTGTTGGCTCTTTTGCTCCAGCTGGGTGTTTGGCCCCATTGTGTTCGCATCAGACAAATCCAGCCCAGCTGTGCTGGTGCAAAGGAGCAAATAGTTTCAGACAACAACCGTAGGATTTAACAAATGAAGACAAAAATGCTGCTAACAAGCCTCATTGATGGTGACATTATTTGCAAATAACACTTGGAGATTAAAAGAAAAAAAGTGAAATAAAGCAGCTTTTCTCTGAATGTGCCTGCACTAAAGCCTCTCCCCTTGCTCTGTCCCCACACAAAGCTGTGGCTGTGTGGGGCTCTGCTGGGGCCTGGGCTGCCCCTACGAGTAGGGTGAGCCCAGTGGAAGAGGGGCAGCAAGGGCTGTGCTGCTGTGGTGCCAGGCAGGGCTCACCCCACAGCAAGGGTGGGTCCCCAGCCCTTTGGCTTGAGCGTGTGTTGGAGCATGTGTGTGCGCTGAGCCTGGGACGCATCGCTGTGGTGCTGCGTCTTCTCATGGGTAGTCACGGCGTTCCCTGCTGTCCTGTGACTTGCAATACCTATTTTATTATTTACACAAACTCATGTTCTTGCTGTCCTTGGGGAATTTCACCCAAGTAAGCGCTGAGCTACTTCACCTCCCTGTGAATCCATAAACACAAACACCTTGGATGTAGTTTTTCTGCTACTGTGGTCTCTATTATTCACTTTGGCAAGGTCCTTTTTAAAGAAGCTAATAAACCTGTCACGACAAGTCCATCAAATCTCAGCAGGATGCTTCTTTCACTTCTGAGGTTCCTTTCATAACCAGCCTGCATGCTGGCACCATTCGTTAGGAGCATCCGGCCAGCTTTGTTCTTTAGCATTATTGTGCACTGCTTTTTTTTCATGGTACCTGAAGCTCATAAGACAACTATCGGTTTGCCTCCTGATGGGGGAGAAGGCATTTGTATTGTGTTTCATGTATCGTGTCTCTGAAAAGGACTAGAAAACATAAGCACAGTAACTTGTGGGTTTTCTGTCTTAGAGAATTAGGATGTCTTTGCATTACTGAGCAGGCAAACATTGAGCAGCGCTTGATCAATAGGAGGCATTGCCAGAGGTCTGGTGTAGTCTACAGCAGCCAGCGGTAAGCGTTGCTATAGGCTATGGAACTAGGAATGCAAAATGTCGAATGGCAGTAATAATTCATGCATCCTGGGACATATAAAACCAACAGTATGTCAATAGCTGTGGCATGCTCTGCAGAAAATATGCAGGATTTAGATGTCGCAGGAGCCCGTGCTTTACTTTAAACCACACTTTCCTTGGTGAAATATAGACTTTCCCTATTTGTTAAAAGCATTTATTTTCAGTTTAATGTCGCTGCTTTTCTATTAAGATTCTAAGGGATGTGCAGCTCAAAAGGGGTCCCGAGATCCAGAGATTCGTAAAGCAAAATACATGTATTTATTGAAGAAAAACACATAAAAGGCTTGTAAAACAGGGTGCAATAGTATTTGAAATTCATGGACCATTTCGGCATTCATAAAAGCATATATGGTTCTCATGTTGGCTTCACTGGGGATTGGACTTTGCTGGCTGGGTTACCCAGGAGATATCTGTCATTCTCTTAAAGTGAAGCTCATTACAACCACTTTGTATTTTACTTGGAAAGTGAAATATCTTGTGAAATAAGTGAGAACTTCTCCAGTATTCATCCTCCCCAAAATACTTCAGAATAATTAATATTGCTCGTCTCTTGTGGAAAGATACTAAAGAGGGTGAATTATTGCGTCTGGGAGGCTACGGTAGACATCAGAATAAAGACTGCATCTATCTGATACTGGGTCTCCTCTGTGCCACTGCTGCTTGGGAACATAGACGTGATGAGTGCTGTTTTACCTGCTAAGGCTCCCACAAAAATTCTTCAGATGAAACTTTAATGAGAAAAGGGGGAAAAAAAAATGTTCAAGCAGACCCTTTCTAATGCTTTCAGCTGTGTGCTCTTGTGCACCCTAGCTGCGTGTTGCCAGGCCTCAATTTCTCTAAATCTGCCTGGAAGTAGAAAGGCAAAACAGAGAAGTTGCTTGTCACTCATGATTATATGAATATGGGCCTTAACATACAGGTAATACTTCTAAAAGAATTTAAAATATTAACCAAAAAAAGAAAAAAAGGCAAGAAAGGAATCACAAAGGAACCCACCATGCATTATTTAAATCTTCTCTCGAGCTGAGGGCTGAAACGCATCCGCATCGTCTGCTCTTCCAAGTGACAACGATCCCTCCGCTGGAGGGCTGGGGGTCCTGGCTCCCAGTTGTCTTCTCTGCAATATATATTTTTTAAAGTGCAGATTCAAACAATAATTAATCATATATAATGTCTATGTTTTGAAGAATGCAAAGTGATTTAAGTGCAGTGGTCTATATCTATATAAATAGGCACTAATAGATATTTCAGCACATCTTGCTGAAACAGATGTTAAATGAAAAATAAAAATAAAATTAAGCCTGCTAACTCTCTGAGACATATGAAAGGGATGTCTTTGTTCCGAGCAGAGCGAGTTGGCTCGTTCTGCTCCTTCGGCTTGGTTCGAGGAGGATGTGTTTTGCAGTCCTCCCATGATACTTGGCAAATTTAAAGCTGTCACTGTTGATCCTGCTTCTCTTTGTATTAAAAGAATGTCTGTGGTGTTTATATTATGGGGGAAAATGCTATTTCTACTGATTGTATTTTCATTGTCTCTTTTCTTATGACTGTAATGTTTGCCAGCAGCTGAGGGGCCACTTTGATGCTTGCTCTGATGCCATGGTTTATTGTGTAGCACAGTTGAGCCTAGGGTTTTCCTTTCTAATCGGAGCTGACATACTGGGTAAAAAATAAAGCTCTTATTTAATTATGGTTATCTCATAGAGTCTGCGTTTGTTATAGCTGATAGGGTGCTGGAAACCAAAGTTTGTAAATACCTACGTATGTTCTGGTTTGTTTCTAATCCCAGCAATGTTTTGCCTGCTTCTGTTCCTCACCCTGACCATGCACATGAGCAGGCTTGCAAACCTGTTTGTGGAGTGAAGATAGCAGGAATATGTGCATGCTACAGCCTCCGCCTTCTTCACTGCTCCTGCTTAAAGGGATTAGCATCCAGTGAAGGAAAACGAATGAACCTTGTTTCAGGAATTCACTCAGGGAAGGGAGTAGCCAAAATAAGCAGAGCCTTGGTGCTGGTGGCAGA